AGTATTAGCTCACCCATCCAAATAATCAGAATCAGGTGTTCCAATCACTTACATGGCCACAGGTATATAAAATCAAGTACCTAGGATTGTTGTTACAAACATTTGTGAAAGAATTGATCGCTCTCAGAAGCTTAGTGAATTCCAGCTTGGAACTGTGATAGGATGCCACCTGTGTAACAAATCCAGTCGTGAAATTTCCTCGCTCCTAAATATTCCACAGTCAACTATCAGTTGTATTATAAAAATATGGAAGTGTTTAGGAATGACAGCAACTCAGCCATGAAGCGGTAGGCCACGTAAACTCCTCCAACATCAGTGTGTGTGACCTCACTAATGCGCTTCTGGAAGAATGGTCAAAAATTCCCATAAACACACTCCTAAACCTTGTGGACAGCCTTCCCAGAAGAGTTGAAGCTGTTATAGCTGCAAAGTGTCATATTGAACCCTATGGATTAGGAGTGGGATGTCACTTACAGTAAGTTCATATGCGAGTAAAGGCAGGTGAGCAAATACTTTTGGCAATATAGTGTAATTGATATTTTTGTCTGTTAACTACTCAGTGATGAAGTAGAACAATAATTATCTGGTATATCACAAAAGGTATCCAGATTAAGGAGAACAGAATATAGAAAGGTTATAAGAAAACTTTAAGTCAATAAGTTCCCAAACTACTGAAATACCTGTGGATTTTCACACAGAAAAATAGATTCTTCAAAATTGATGTGGTATTTTCTTATGTGTCGCATCAAACCAATCCTTTTACAGGCTGGGCAGCATCCATCTGGAGTTTCTTCAGTAGAATTACAATTCTGAAATGATTAATACCAGACAACACATTTATTGAGCTGAAAAATCAAAACACTGCAAAATAATTTTTATAAAATGAAATGCTAAATTTGACATCAAACAAACAACACTAAAGCAAATAAATATTAGAACAATTCATATCATTGATAATTTGACTTTTATAGAATGTTCACTTGTATTTATATAGAGAATAACACATTACTATAATTCTGAACTCCTGTATATTTCATGAACTAGAACAAATATTTTCACATATATTTGTACTAAGATCAGAAAATAGTAAATCTTTCGCCATTTCAGTAAGATTTCCGTGGAAAAAATAATTTTATAAGAAAGTAAGAGGTCATATATTAAAATTAGACCTGTAAAATCAATTTTAAAAAATCTCAAAATTGAGAAGGAACTTTGCACAAAAGAACTGAACTGACTTTTCCCAAATACCCCACCATGTGGAGTGCAGATGTCCCTACATCAGTCACTTGCAAACCATTTCCAATCTTCAGGGAATCCATCATTCTGAGGCACTGGCTAAATTACCATGTCACTTGTAACATTTTCAAGTTCTAAGGAGTTTTTCCCATATATTCTGAAAAATAAAAAGTGGACAGAAAAAGTGTTACATAAGCATTTTTCTCATAGCAATTCTTAGAAAGCATAGTCTAGAAATAAATGTGTGGGAATGGGATAAGAGGACAGCACTTAATGACTGTATATCAAAATAAATAACAAAGAATAGAGTAGGGAAATGTGATATACACCACAGTGGAGATATTATGCCACCAAACTAAACTTTAAAATGTACATCTCCTATAAAACAGGTGAATTAATCACCTCAACGCTCTTTAAAATACTACTGCATTTTATCTGTGTTTACAAACAAGAGAGAATGTTTCAATCACTAGCTATGCTCTTTTTCAGATCCGAACGCATGACAGATTATGACTTCAACATTTGGTCCTATTAATGCAATGCTGCTAGGTTTAGGCAGACAGACATTGTATGCTAGACTTCCATGTATGGCCCAATAGCCCTGTTCCTCGAATTCACAGGTGCCTGAGTATTACCCTCCTTTTTTTGAGACCCATTCCTCCTATAATCAATCCTGTTTGCAAGAACCCCAGCAAGATACAAGGGGGCAAACTCCAGATAAATACAAGTGCGAAGAGAACTCTATTTCAGAAAAATATTCCTGATGATAAAGAAGTGCTGTCCTGCACTTCCACCAATTAGGGAAGATGGTGATGGCATAAATCAATGATGGCGAACCTATGGCACTCATGCCACAAGTGGCACGCAGATTCCTCTCTGTGGGCATGCGAGCAGTCACCCCAGCTCAGTTGCACCACGCATGCCTCCTGCTAGCCAGCTGGTTTTTGAGTCTCTGCCACACATGTGAGGGGCACATGTGGGGATCGTGTCGGCATGCACGAGGGGCGCGTGTGCACATGTGCAGAGGTGGGGTGCACATGGGGTGGTTGTGCGTGCATGCATGGGGGTACTGGGGGCTGGCGCACACCATTGTATTATGGATGTGTGTGCACACACACTTTCAGCATGCTACAACAAAAAGGTTAGCCATCACTAGCATAATTTTTTTGTGTACAGCAGAGAAAATCATGCAGGGTATCACAAGAAGAACTGGCCTCAGTTTGTTCAATGCAGAGCTCTTGTCTCAACTAGAAAGAGAGTGATGTTCTTCTCTCCACAAGAAACTTAATTACATCAGGAGACTGATGACAGTTGACATCTTCATTCCTCATAACAATCAAGTGACAGCTGATCCTGATCCAGTTCTAGCTGCTTATCCCAGGAATATATGATATAATTATGCATGATGGCACACAATACTACCTGCCTTTTAGGACTATGCTTAGGAAGGTTTGTGGTCACAGCTTTAGCTTCCTATCCTTTTCTTGTTAGCTTTAATGAATGTTAATTATGGTGTAGTATTACAAAAGCTCTAATAGAATGATCAGGATTTCAACAACTGATTTAGAAGGTAACTTTAAAAAGAATTATATAATGCAGTGCAACTACAAGAAATGTGAAAGAAAGAGGGGCACAAATAATCATAGGGAGGCTATAGAATAACACAGGACTATAAAATAATCAAGAGAACAGCAAATGTATCTCAAAAATTAAACATGAGGATTTAGGAACCTAAGAGAGGTAATGTTTTCCTCAGTCCTGTAAAACTGAGAGAACTAATTAAAATATCTAAATTAATTTGGAAGCTTTAGAGCTCATTCTTTTATTACTACTACCAAAACTCTATTTTGTAAGTGTTCTTCTTATGAAAATGTTTACTTATATAAATCAACTTGTCTTTGGTAAAATGCACTAATTGCGTGCAGAACTATGATATCCTGCAATTAATGCTACATTAAGAGTGTGTAAATGCCACTGCCACATTTGTTTTATTCAACAATTTTGAATAAAATCTATACTCATGTTGTGCATATAAACATGAAAGAATGTACATAGAATCCTTAACCAACTTTATCTATTGCCTGTTTCACATATAAACTATGTGCATAAGAATCAAATATGAACTGGAACTTACTAAGAACTATTTAGTTCAGATAGTGTAGAGACAAATAACAGGCTTCCTCCACCTATTTTGGGCTCTATTCCAATAAATATGGTCAATGACAAATCAAAACACAATATCTAATAGGCTATCCTTGAAATAGCATGCATTCTTTCAGTTCAAAATGACATGCACAGCATTCTCTCCCCTAAAGTTTCCTCAAAACAGCTTGACTTTATCAAATGAGTTTCCATGGTTGAGGGTGAACTTGCCTGTCTGAATATTGTGATATACAAGCATACAAACACATACTTTTTTTCTTGTTTTTATTTCCAAGGAAATCTTAGATTTCAATATACTATTTAAAAAGAAAACATTAAACTTAAAAATGCAAATAGGAACATTTGTATACACGTGAAGGTACATTGGACCTATCCAAATTAGCTTACAAATTCTGTACATATTTTTAAAAGATAAAGACAGAGGATAAGATATGTATTAATACACACATTAAACTAAGCATCAGATCTAGATGAACTTGAAATATGCGGTTGGGATTTTGAAGTTCTTGGTGCTATGGCACTCAGAAATGCAGTATATGTATACACAAGGCCAGGCATTGATGTGGAAATGCCAGATATGGAAATAAATATCTTTATCACTGAGATAGATTACTCCAGCAACCTCTTTAATATAGATTGGCTGACCATAATTAGAAATCCTGCCTATTGCTGCTTTATTATCATTACTTTATTATACAGTACTCATTTTTCTATGTGAAAAATGCAAAACTCTTAACTATCTTAGACATAGATGCAATGTTGCCCTATTCTGCAGCAGGATACCAAATCTATGTGCATTATTTCTTATTTCCTTTAAGAGCTGACATCTGGAATGTGATTGATTCCATATTCATTATGATTTTCATCATAAATCAGGAACCTGGGCAGGAATAATTGTTCTAAAAACACATGTATATTTTTTGCAAAAGAAAAACACAGGAAGTAGCATAAATGTAGAAATATAAAATAATCATGATCAAAATAAATGGCATCACTTGATATAGAAGATCAACTTGATAAAAATGAAAGTTATTTAAGAAACTGGGGATTGCTGTTCAATGAAATAGAAAAAAACCCTGTAAATTGAACAAATGTATAAAACTATCAATCTTTCCTATATGGCTACTGTTAAGTAAATTAATTCTCATGACGTATAGTTCTTTCATCTATTGGTGCATATGCGATATCCTTGTGTTTACATGTCCTTAGTGCAAAAAGTACAAACAATGCACAGCAAATAAAAACTGTGTCATTAAGATACTCTATGCAGAGATACCATAATTCATAGCAGAATGTAATGGTGCTATGACCTTGCAATCATGACCTTGCAATTATGTCTGTGGGGGAGAGCAGAGTTTCTCCATTTCTCCAGAGGAATGGTTACAGCTCCAAGAAATCCAAACCAATGGACAAGGTAAGACTCTTTAATCTATAAGTCAGATTCTTCATATAAAGATTGTTCTGTGCCATATTGACTTAAGAATTCAAATTAGAAGAGCAATGCTGTTTATATTCCAATGTTACAACTCTACTACTATGTTAAAAAGAGTATTGTTTCTACACTGTGTTGTTATAGAAACTGGGCAAAGCTGGAAGGTAAAGGAGAATATGTGTAGCTCAGGGTTGAAATGAGGGGTCGTTGGTGCTCTCTGAGCTTGCTTTTTTTCTCGCAGAGGTTTCATTANGAAATGATTAGTTAACTAGACATTTACTTAGGTGCCTATGTGTTATAATTACACTGACTATATATATAAAAGTGGCTGTGTATGTGTATGTTCCACCACAACTCTGGAACACCTTGAGCAATTTCAACCAAATTTGGCACACAATTGACTTACTCTCTGGGGAAAAATACTGTGGGTGTAAGACACCCTAACACTCCTCAGAGGGTGCATTCTGTTAAGATACAGCCTGTTGTGCCTTAAAATTGATTCTACTGTACTGCCATAAAATGGCTTCTTCTGTACAGCACAGTGGGATTGCCATGGTAACGGTTTCACAGTACTACACAAGAGGGCTCCTTCTGGTAAAGGGGAAAATCCAACAATAGAAATTACGTTTAGTCCGGACATTTTCCCCCTATAAATAAATACCCGGACAACGCCGGGTTATCAGCTAGTTGTTTATAAGGGCCAAGTAAGGAAATCACAGTTGAAAATGGGAATGAGGTGAGGCTTCTGCCCCCTTTGCTCCTGTGCATTGGAATCCCTCGGCAGATATTTGAAAGGGGAGGAGAAGGAAATGCTTTTGCACCCTCTGCCCTTTCTATTGAATCTCACATTTCTCTCAGCTTTCTGTTTTAGCCATTGGATTCCACATTTTTCGTACCATTGAAGTCAACAGGTTAATGGGACAGCTGCTAAGAAATCCCAACATCTACGCAGACTTTGAATTTCTGGCTTTTTGGCAAACCCAGTACAACAACATGAATGCTGTGAACTTGTTCTTTGCCTGGATCAAGGTACTTTTCATCCTTTGTCTCTCATCCCAATTTGATAAAGTAAGAATTTTCTATCCAGTAGGGGTGATAAAAGGGATGTGGTGGCTCAGTGGCTAAGACGCTAAAACGTCTTATGTTTTAGCTAAAACTGCATTGAAGAAATTGAACAAGAGAAGTGGAAGTAACTTAGGAGGAGCTGAAAGAGGAAGAGGCTGCATTTGGGGGTGGCTTGACAAGGAATGCGGTGGCTCAGTAGCTAAGACGCTGAGCTTGTCGATCAGAAAGATCGGCAGTTCAGTGGTTGGAATCCCTAGCACTGCGTAATAGAGTGAGCTCTGTTACTTGTCCCAGCTTCTGCCAACCAAGCAGTTCGAAAGCATGTAAAACGCAAGTAGAAAAATAGGAACCACCTTTGGTGGGAAGGTAACAGAGTTCCATGTGCCTTCGGTGTTTAGTCATGTCGATCACAGAGACAACTTCGGACAGTGTTGGCTCTTCGGCTTTGAAACGAAGATGAGCACCGCCCCTTAGAGTCAGGAACGACTAACACATATGTTTGAGGGGAACCTTTACCTTTACCTTTTGGGGTGATAAGGTGGCAATAAAGGAACAGTGCTGGTATCTGTTTACTGTTTTGATTTATACCCTGTTATTTTATCCATAAAGCACTCAAGGTGGCCAAGAGTCTAAAATATAAATCATCAAACAATTAAAACCAAATGAGAACAGTTAACATCATTCGTCACAAATTCTGTCGGAAGAGAAAGATCTTTTTCTTGAAAGTGCCAGGGCCAAATGCAATTCCTGAAGGAAGATATTCTATAGCTGGGGAGTAATTCAATAGATGGCCCTGGGAAAGTATTTCCACTCATTTCCCTTTTTTGGATTGCAAAACAATAGTAAAGGAGAAACAATTTGAGAATGCCAATTTACTTTATATATGCCTTATCCCATTGCATGCAGAATACTGAATTTTTAAAGTCCAGATAGAGATTGTCTTTCTTTATTTTTCATCGTCTATTCTAACCCCAAACCTAAGAAGTTCACTGGCAGTTCTCTTTTCCTCTCCTATCCAGATATTCAAATATATTAGCTTTAACAAAACAATGACCCAGCTGTCTTCCACTCTTGCCCGATGTGCCAAGGACATTCTGGGTTTTGCCATCATGTTCTTCATTGTCTTTTTTGCCTATGCGCAACTGGGCTATCTCCTTTTTGGAACCCAAGTGGAAAACTTCAGCACCTTTGTTAAATGCATGTGAGTATCTCCCATGTTGTCCTTTCCTTTTTTTATTTCTCCTTCATGGCAAGGATCTCAGCCAGATGTTTATTATCCAGAAGTCTGCTTAACTTCTAATCTGAACTGATTATTCCGCGTGCGGAGTTAAGTTATCCTGGTCCGCTCTATTCTTTTTCTTTGAAATATGTTGTTTTGTTTTTTGCTTTGTAACAGTAAACCACCCAGAGTAGCTGTGCAGTCAAGTAGCATTGAAATTGAAATAATAAATGCCTTAGAGAGGTTTCATGTACCCACATCTTTCTTGAAACCTTTCCAAAACTCCAAACCCACAGATAATAAGAAATGCTGTTCTTGCCTGTTTAAATGATGCATGAACTCCAAAAATGCGACACAAAGGCTTTGGTCCTATTCCTCTGACATCAAACAGGACAAAAAAACCAAAAGAAAATGATTTCACACCCCTGACCAAAAGTATCAGTAAAAGTTATAATAATAAATATCTGGTCATGTGAAAGACATGATCCTTAATGTTTCCTGGCCTCAAACCCTTCTCCTTAAACTGATTCTCCAATGGATTCACAACCACTTCAGATTAGATGTTGCAAGATTGGTAATATACCATTCTTTTCGGAGTATAAGACGCACTTCTCCCCCCCCCACCCTCCAAAAGTGGGTGAAAATTGTGGTGTGTCTTATACACCGAATGTTGCTGAAGCCCCACTCACCTGCTGGTCCCCACCCTTTGGCTGTTTTTGGCCTCCANGTGGGAGACAGGTACGTTAAAAGCAAACCCACTTGTCCCTCGAGGGCCAACTTTATCAGCAGGGACTCACACCCGACAAGCTCCGGAGCAGGGACCCTACGAGGTAACAGAGACTCCCGGATAATAATAGCCACACCGCCACCCCTTCTCTGGGCTCTCGGCTAATGAAGCACCTGAAATCCCTCTGGGCACATCTCTACAAGGGGGACTCCTCCTTCTGTGCCCAGCCAGGTTTCAGTAATACATGCCAGGTCTGCCCTCTCGTCAACAATCATGTTGACGATCATGTGCAACCACTTCAAAGTGCCATATCAAGTCAGTAATTGTAACATGGCTTCAAAATATTTAAGCTAGAGGCTGGCTGTCGCGTGTCCCATTTACAGTCAGCATCTGTCCTCTAATTCCATTACAGTACAAAGCAAAAATGTTTCCCAAACTCACAAACAGGAAAAGCATCATCCCGCTCAAGAGGCGGTCCCAGCTTCAGCTTTTTTAGTTACAGAGCAGGGCTTTTGTGTTCACATCTTTCTTTTCTCAACCTTCCTCCCCCTCTCCGCTCCGCAACACACCCCTTCAAAATAGGGGTGGCTGAAGAAAATGCACTAATGTGAGCCTGAGGCACAGAAGAAATAAAGAGAGGGGAGGGAAGCTTTGGCCAAGATGAAAGCAAGCAAAAAAAGAAAGGAGGCAATTTAGTCTACTCCAGTTTGAATTGCTCTCTCACTGAAGCCAAGGCTAAAGGAGTGGGATGAGTTGGGCTCTTTGGAATAGAGCACATGACTGGGGAACAATTCATTGTGGCTTTGCCTGCAGGCCAATTCCAGTGAGCCACAGAACAGAAAGGGCCATTCAAGTACCAAGCTGAAGGAATAGGAAGGGCCACAAGAGCGTCTCCTAAGCGCAAACTTCAGAAGACTAGTGAGAAGGCCAACCAAAAGCTGTGATCTTTTCCAACCGATCAAGAGTATGGTGCCTGGCTAAAATTTCATTGCACCAATTTTAGAAAGGAGCTTTATCTGTGCAAGAACATTTACAAATAAGCCAAAGATCAAATGAATTAAATCTGAAAGGTATTGTACATTGCCCTAGTTACTATTTCTCTAATCAGCGCAAATGGATTAACGCTTATACAAACCACTTCTATGCAATTGCCAGAAAGGCATAAGTGTTCACAAGTCTCATATTTTCAATCCAGCCATATTTACTTTTGCCAGCTGCAATGCACACTCTCTGTGTATGAATACCAGCAAATTCTGGAATGGGAAATTATAACTCAGGGCAATATTTTTAGATACTGAAAACTTTTGATAATTTATTTCAGAATCTCTGTAGTAATCTGTACATATTCTAGGTAAATATTAACTGATTTCTAGCCATAACAAAAGTGCCCTGGATGAATAGTTTTTTAAAAAATATATTATTTTTTAAAAAATTTGTAAAGATATCATCTTACCAAAAGTGACTCTGGGTGACAGATAGTAAACAGGTAAAACCATAAACATAAAAAGAGCAAATACAAAAATATAAAAATCACATTAAAAATAAATAGTATAAAAACAGATATACAAACCCTAGGCAAAGAGAGGCTAAAAATAGTCAACTCAGGAATGGTCCCATCTAATCACGTCTTTGGTTCACTGGGAGCTTCAGACCTGGTATATCCAGTTCTTGAAAGGCTTCAATAATGTCAAAGGGATGGAGCTAATTTAATTTCAGGGAGAAAAATGATCTATAAAGTAGGCACCATGACAGAGGAGGCATATCTCCTAGGATCTGCCAAATATAGGCCCCTGGGTGATGGTATCCACAGCATGTCTTCTCTGCCAGATCTAATGGGGCAGGTTGATGAAACCAGGAACTGGCAGTCTCCCAGATAATCTGGTCCCATGCCATAAAGTGTTTTAAAGGTCAAAAATAGCACATTGAATTAGAATTAGGGTTCAGATAAAGCCAATTGTTCCCCATCCAGATCCTCACAGCTTCCTGGGACAATATATTCACAACATTATTTCATTCACCAGGGTAGGACTGGATATTGTTAGCATGATGATGGATGACTCACTCCATAGCTTCAATAACACATTGAAAAGTAAAGGACAAAGCAGCAAACCTTGTGTCACCCCATATAGTAGGAGCAAGAGTGGACTTCTCCTCCCTAACCAAACTGGATTGGAATCAAAGAAAAAGGTGAACTAGCACAACATGATATCACCCACCACAATCTTCTGAGCTGATCCAGAAGAGTACCATGATCAATAGTATTGTCAAGTAGGGCAAAGATCCATGCCCATGCCAAATATCAATGTTGTTTCCATCCCATACCCATGTCTGAATCCTGATTGAAAAGAACCCATTTAATCTACTTCCTCCATGGCCCTCTGAATTTGTTGTGGACCACCTTTTCTATCATGTTCCCCAAGAATGGGGTTGAGATATTGGACAAAAACTGTACAGAATAGTGGCTTCTGGAATGGGAAAAAGCTAGGTCTCTTTAAGATGTAAAGAAACATGCTCTCTCATGCAAAGAATAATTATTGAGAATCCACTTACACATCACCCAAGCCGCTTTAATGAGCCAGGAGGAGGAGAATGAATCAGGTGGCCATGTTCACAATCCAACATGTTCAAACCATTCCCAAATAATCAGGAAAGATTTCTCTTCAAAGAACTCCACAGGACCTGCAGCAAGGCTAGTAGGCAACTTGACATGATCTGAGTGACTTTGTCCAACAGATGCTGCACAAATTCCTCTGCACATCCCTGTAAGAGGTTCTCTGTGCTTCCTTCACCCAAGAGGGCCTATGTTACCTGAAACGGGGCTGTGGGATGACAATCTGCAGAGGCAATAAGGTTGGAAAAGTGCTGGAGTTTTGCTGCCCTTAACTGCTACAAAGTAGATTCTAATAGCAGCTCTAACCTATATTCATCTTTGTTGAGTGCCAATGACACTCTAAACATATCATCACCCTTTTCATCTCTCTCAGCTCCTTTGTAAATCACAGGAAGTGATGGGATCCACAAGAGAAGAAAGATCACACAGGCATGATCTGATCCATATGGTCACCCTTCTGGATAGACTGTGCAGCAAATCTACAGGGATAACCTCAGCTTCTTCTGAATCTGCTCCAAGTCCATCAATCACTGTAGGGGAAGCTATCTAATGGGTCCAGGCTCACTGCAGTGGGTAGTAGCATCAGAGAATCTCATAGAAATTAGGATATAATCCAACCATGACAAAGGAGGTACCAAGAGCTGCCCGAATTTATGATCAAATTACTAGTGCTCTGAAAGAAACAACAAATCTGGAGTGTGATCGTTGTTCTTAGTTGAGCTCTGGACAACTTCGATTAGCCCATAGCTGCCATGGTACCAATGAATTCCAAGACCCATTCCTAGGGAAGGCAAATTGAAGTTTCCTATAACCGTGATAGCGAACCTATGGCATGTGTGCCACAGTGGCACACAGAGCCCTCTCTGTGGGCACGCAAGCTGTTGCCCCAGCTCAGCTCCACCATGAATGCATGTGCACCTCCCATAGGCCTGCTAGTTTTCAGGTCTCTAATGCACATGCACAGGGGGCAGGAACACACATGTGGGGGACATGGGAGGAGTCATGCATGCATTGCATTATGGGTGCAATGCAGTGATGAAAAGGTTAGCCATCACTGCCCTAGAACCACGAGTCTGATAAACTGTATTATCAACCCATAAATGAAGTCAAAGAGCTCAGACCAACTGATCCCCAGAATCTAGCTAATGAACAGGATCTCACAACTATGAATCTGTGGGACAAGCCCCCTGAAATCTATAAATACTACAACCTCAAATACCTCTGCCCTGAGTTTCAGCTGATGCTACACTTGAAATCCAGCTGAGCAAATTTCAAAAAGAACAACTCCACCTTCAGAATCCATCCAGGTTTCAGCAACATAAGCCAGGTCAGCTCTCTCATCAACAATCAAAGCCCTAGTGGTGCAATGATTAAAATGCAGTATTGCAGGCAAACTCTGACCACAGCCTGGAGTTTGATACTGATGGGGCTCAAGGTTGACTCAGCCATTCATCCTTCCAAGGTCAGTAAAATGAGGACTCATACTGTTGGGGGCAGTATGCAAATAATGCTTCCACACTGTAAACTGCCTGGATAAAGCAAAGCACTATGGGTAGTGTATAAGTCAAAATGCTATTGCTTTATTACAAAATGAAATTCGATGGTGAAAAAAGTAAGGTTCTACATTAGGCAAGAAAAACGAAATGCACAGGTACAGAATAGGTGGTACCCTGCTCAATAGTAGTAACTGTGAGAGGGATTTTGGAGTCCTAGTGGACAACCATTTAAATATGAGCCAGCAGTGTGCAGCAGCTGCCCAAAAGCCAACACAATTCTAGGCTGCATAAACAGATGGATAGAATCAAGTTCACATGAAGTGTTAATTCCACTTT